GCACCACAAGCACTTTACTCAGAGAACCATTTCCTGAGGCCCTACAGTCCTGTCGTGAAGGACAAAAGGACTGATTACACATCACAAATATTGTGAGTAATTCTGCAAGAAACAAAGAGTATGCAAGTATGTCGTTCTAGTGCTGACTTTATTTCCTTTTGAATATCCCCACACAAGTCAGATACTTGAATGCATGATGAATCTAGTTTTATTGCCATAAAGACCTCTATACTGTCCACCACAGTGGCTATACTATTTTTCTTTCCCAACAACCACAGAGAGATTTATTTCTTCCACATCATTGCCAGCATCTGCTCTTTTTCTCTGTCTCAATAATAGCCATTCTAACTGTGCTCACATGATACCTTACTATGATTTCATTTGTAATTCATACAGATATACTAAGTAATAATGCAGCAAAAGTCTGGAGTCTGTAAAGATTGAATGGGGCAGAAATTTTAAGAAAACACTTAAAAGAAAAGAACAGTGATGAGAGGTAGGAACTGACATTTTATGCTTAAGAGAAAGTAGTCTTGGGCCTAAAACCATACTTACTATGTCTATATATGAAGAAGAAATTGAATGAGATTTTTAAATGCATGTTGATAAAATCTGCCATTCAGTTGTCAAAACTTTTTTGTCTCATTTACCTGGAGGATCTACAAGATAAAAGTGAAGTTTTCTCCCACAGCAGAATTATTTGTGTTTATACCAGATCCACTGTGGGAAGCTGTCTTTGTGGTGTTACAGTCTGAGCCAGTCAACTTGCCTGGTTCATACCTGAGAAGAGGAGTGTGGGTTGAGAAAGGGTAGGTAAAGATGTTAAGAGAAAGACGGAGACACAGGATAGAGTCAGGAGGGCAATCCAGTGAATACTGAATGCCTCTAATTTATTCTTTAGCATTCTTAAATACTCAACCAAAAAGGGGGGACATGGCAGAAGACTTCTATTATCATGTATAAGGAGCAAACAGACTTACTTCCCTTAATCCTTCAGGCAGTTGGTAGCCACACCTGTTATCCGGCCTTCAGGGTCAAGAGTGAACACACCTGAGGCCAAGTCTATCATTATTTAGACATCCATTACCAAGGCTGAAACATCCTGAAGTAGCAAGGCCTTAGACCTTTAGGTCTTTAGACTTACTAAGGACAGTTTTGAACTCTCTGACCTTGAGGCAAGATGAAGCGGACCCATCTTTATGGGCCCCAACCAGGCACAGTGTCCCAGACATAAAATCTTTAAAATAAAATATTCATTTTTTTGTATTATCTGTAAATGGAGATAAAGGCACTTCAGCTCATTGTGCTGTTGTATTGCCAGCACTCAACAAGTATTCAGAGACTGAAACAGGCTACTAAGTTCCACTGGTGTGTCTTCCTTACATGCCAGTGACTTCAGTGGTCCTCAGGGATGGATCGCTATATCATTTGCTAGAGTGTTGATGTTCACTTTGTGTCTATCAAAAGAAGAACTGAAGAAAAATTGAAAATCAAGTAATCTTAGATTTCCCTGCAAACAGTGTTTCTGTGTGGAGGGCTCAGGTATTGTGTCTGCAGAGGAAGGCCCTATTACTTCCTATACAGTGACATCCTGTGAGGCCCAAAATGGGGCTGTTAAATTTTTATATATGTAGCATACAGGAGGTTGGGGCTGGATGCAAACTTAGGCAGGTTTTCTGATGTAAAGAGGCAATTTTTCTTATTTCCAGGTCCATATACCTACGTATCACAAAGCTATTATAAAACAATACGTTGTTTCACTCTGTGGGAAAATTATATTCAACAAGTGTATGTACTGGGGGAGGGTATTCAACACACACACACACACACACACACACACACACACACACACACGAACACACACCACTATTAATTTCTAATTAATTAATTTTGTCATCATGTCAGTTAAAATATCAGGCTCATCTGTTCTGTCATGTCCTGACAGCAGGGTGCAGCCCTGATGTCATGAAAGTTTTGGAGTGCTAGTAGGAAGAAATAAGGGATTCCCAAAAGTGAGAGCAACAGATTAAAAATAGAAAAAGCACAGCTAAAGGTGAGGTCATCACCCATGGAGCCCAGACAGACTGAAGCAAACCAAATCCTGCAGTTAGGAATCTATGTCCAACAGCCTTTCTGCTAAGCATATATATATATGACTAAAATCTATTCACTTGATGTTTGATGGGAGCTTATGGCATCTTAAACACAGTGCATACAGTGTCTGATTGTACACAGGGAACAGTGTACAACGTTACACTGGGAACAGGGCAATGAAAGCATGTTTCTTGGCAAACCTCTCATCACTTGGGCTTTTTCAGAGCCTGTAAACCTCCCCTCTCAGAAAAGCATCTAATCCATTATTTCACTGATTTCCAAACTGGGCTTAATGGACACTTGGGGGGGAACAAATTTTTTCCCAAGACCAGGGTAAGAAATATTACTGAAGGAATTGTTCCTCCTTGTCATCCAACTTCCTCGTGAGCACCTCCCTAAAATCAGTCTGCTTGAGAAAGAGCTGTTTTTCCTTCCAACTTTCCTGTTCAAAATCAATTTCTTCTTCTTGATTAGGAAAGGGAGAACTGAGTATTGTGATCTGAAAGTGCCCAGTGTGTATATTAGTGTCAGGGCCAATCAGCACTGAAGCAATGAAGGACAGATAAGGAGGCAACACTTGTCTGAGCTGATTGAGTTGTTTGCTAATAGATCAATACAAACAATTTTGATGATAGATTATGGTGTAATTTCTGTATATAACTTAATAAAAAGCTGAAACAATTTAGAGATGTTGCCATAGCAAAGCCACTGTCATTCTCAGAGCCATCAGTGTCACTTGGGGGAGTTAATTTTTCTCAGCAGTTAGAGTTCTACAGTGAGATGCAAGAATGGAATTGTTGGTGAGTCTTTCTCATTTGGGATAATTTGTAGTTGTGGTTGCATATAAGAATCAAAATATGAAATCTACATTCATATAATATGAATTTTCACCAAAATTTTAAAATTGTGTCTAATACAATTTTTCAAACTTTGAAAGATATTTATAGTGTTTGGGCTAAATGTATACTGATTATGTAATACCTAGAGGAAATTTTCTTATAAAGTCCTATAATTAAGAGTTCAGAAACAAACAACAAAGCACATAGAGGAATCCATAAAAGAATTGCAATTATAAAAAATATATTACCCTGGATTGTGATTCCTGTGATATACTAGGTGTTAATATTACTATTTACATTCATTTACATAATTTAAAACAGGTATTAATGGATAACATAGCATTGATATTTAGATGCTTTGAATAGATGAAGAGGTGGTGTAGTGGTTTCTTTTAAATTAGTATTCCCACTGCAGTAGGATTTAGGTCCTTTAAGTATTTAAGTGTCTAATTAAAATGGTTAACAACCTGGCATATCACATTTTCAGGTTTATTTGAGGAAGAAATGTGACATGCATAAATCCTACTGATAATGGAAATATTCATGTTGAGTATATGATGCTAACTTAATTCAGATTTGCAACTTTCCCAACAGCCTTTTGGAGACAGCAGGTCTCTGGCAGGGTTGATAAGAGACCAGGGAAGCACAGCCAATGGTCAGCTCGAGCAAAAAGAACTCTTACCTTGTAGGAGTGCCAGCTTCCTGTGGCCACTACCATTTTATTGGTGACTCAGATTTGGTGACTCAGAATAGTATTTACTTCTCAGAGTCCTTCATGTTAGAAGTCGGAAATCTGCACTGATTTTCCAATGTCAAGGTACTAGGAGAGCTGTGATTCTTTTAGAAGCTCTGGGACATAATTTCTTTTATTGGCTCTTCTAGTTTCTGGTAGCTGCTGTTATTCCTTAGTCTTTACGGCCAGCCATATCTTCAGATCTCTCTGTGATCCATCTTTATGTTGTCTTCTTGTCTATAGATAGATCTCAGATTTCCTTCTTGCCTTCTTTTAAAGTCTTTTGTGATTGAATGTAAGGGCACCTAGTTAATTCAGAAGTCTCTCCATCCGGCAATTATTAATTTAAATTATTTACTTCAATCAAACTCTCAAAACCTTTAGAACAGCCAAAAACCTTTAAAGCAGGCAAAGCTTTTGTTTCAGCTTTCTAATGAGCTTGGCCAAAGCTGTATTCCAGTAGGTGTGTGCAGGTGTATGTGTGTGCATGGGGGTGTGTGTGCTCATGTGGCTATGTGGATATAACATGCAGATTCCAAACAATTTTTATATAAAATCTATGTTGTCTAAGCTAGTCCTGGATGCTTCACTTCAATCTTCCTGCCTTGTCCTCCCGAGTAGCTGGAAGGAAGACATTACCATTCTGCCTGACATGGGCAGTCTGTCACATTAGTTCTAGATATGAAAAACTATGACTCAGGCACAAGGAATGAACTCAAAAAGACTTATTTTTAAAGTGAAGCTCTTTTTAGGGAATTTTCTACTGTGCACTGGGTTGTTTCTCCATTTACAGTGAGCACATTTCAAAATACTTCTTCCTGCTGTGCTGTCTTGTAATGCAGCTCTAGCAGTCACTGTGTTCCCAGTACCTCCTGGTCAATTTCTCTTCAGTGAAAAGCCCTGAGGGTCCATCTGGTGTCCTCCTTTTATTATTTCTTTCATTAAACATTGATAAAAGGTGCTCTGAGGCTTGGGAATTTGTAGTTGTTCCTGAAGAATGAGAGAGAAGAGCACATCATAGATTTTAAATAATGTTGAAAACCAAGACTCAAAATACCAAATCCCATTCTTAAGTCTCTCAGCTAGCATTCAGTGAGTATCTGATGCAGTTGCAGTCATTAGTTGCCAACTATCAACTTCAAGTCTGAGAACTTCTCCCTTGAAATGTAACAGTAAAGTGAAGGGGGAAATATAAAATAAGAATTGGTAGTATAGTGAATAACTGAACATCGACAGGCTCCTAATCTGTTTGAGAATATTCTGGCTTTGATGCACCTGTGTTTTAGTCATTCTTATTCTTGTTATTTTTTCAGGCATCCAAGTGGACAGACACTATGAGAAATTTGAGTGGAAGCCATGTGGAGGAGTTTGTCTTGGTGGGATTTCCTACCTCTCCATCCTTCCAGCTACTCCTCTTTGTCTTCTTTTTTGCAATTTATCTGTTGACATTGCTGGAAAATATACTCATTGTTTCTACAGTCTGGCTCACCTCAAGCCTTCATCGGCCCATGTACTTCTTCCTTGGTCATCTCTCCTTCCTGGAACTATGGTACATCAATGTTACTATTCCCAGACTCTTGGGAGCCTTTCTTACCCAGGATGGCAGAGTCTCCTATGTAGGTTGCATGACCCAGCTCTACTTCTTTATTGCTTTAGCCTGCACTGAATGTGTCCTCTTGGCAGTTATGGCCTATGACCGCTACCTAGCCATCTGTGAGCCCCTTCGTTACCCTAGTCTCATGCCTGCCAGCCTGGCCACTCGCCTTGCAGCTGCTTCTTGGGGCAGTGGTTTCTTCAGTTCCATGATGAAGCTACTTTTCATTTCACGACTATCCTACTGTGGGCCCAATATCATCAATCACTTCTTCTGTGATATTTCCCCCCTGCTCAACCTCACCTGCTCAGACAAGGAACAAGCAGAGCTGGTAGACTTCCTGCTAGCACTGGTGATGATTCTGCTCCCTTTGGTGGCTGTGGTTTCCTCCTATGCTGCCATCATTGTAGCCATCCTGAAGATCCCTACTGCCCAGGGACGCCACAAAGCCTTCTCCACCTGCACCTCCCATCTGGTGGTGGTTGTCATCTACTACTCCTCCACTCTCTTCACCTATGCACGGCCCCGAGCCATGTACACCTTCAACTATAACAAGGTCATCTCTGTGCTCTATACTGTCATTGTACCATTCCTCAACCCAGCCATCTACTGCTTAAGGAACAAGGAGATGAAAGATGCTTTCAGGAAGACCATACTGGGAAGGTGCCACCAGCCTAGGGATGTTCCAGATTGATGCATGACAGATGCCAGTAGAGAGGAGAAGAAGTCTTACTAAGGATGTGACTAGCAATCACAGAATGGTCTTATAAGGAAGGTGGATGTCAAACAGTAAACACTTTAAATACTGTTTGGGAACTTCCTAATACATGTGAAAATTAATAAATTATTGATTCTGTACATCCATCTCCAAACCAAGTTTGGACTACATATACGAGAGTTACCTTAGATGAAAGGGTTCAAATGGAGATTCCTAGTACCATCCTTTTTCATTTTGAGGTTTTTGTTGTTTTTTTTTCTTACTGGTTTATGTTTGATATTTTGATTTTGTTTTGTCTGGGAGATTTTTTTTTGAGAAAGACAGAGAAAAAGAACTTGAAGTTGGATGGATTGGGAAGTAGGAAGGATTTGGAGGAGGGAAAAACCATGATAAAAATATATCGTATGAAAATCTTTTAAATAACATTTTATTTAAAAACTGGAGATTCCTTAAAAACATGTGAAGAGTCTTATCAAGTATGTCTGAATCATAACCCTGCTATGAATAATTTTAGACTTCCTGGTAATATTTATTTTACCACCAGTTTGCTATTCCCTGCTTTAATCCAGTTCATTATTTTAAGTGCATAACTCTGAAACAACAGGTTATTCAAAGATCCACATTCCCAAATGTTACTTCTATACAAACTATAAAAGTTTGTATTATATATAGCCTAAGGACAAATTTTATGGACTCTTACAGCCTTACTTTCCACAAATTTCAAGCCCACTGCAAGTCAAGATATACAGTGCAATGTCGGTATTCATTCAGTCACATACACATCAAGAGGGCTAAATGTCCTTCTCTTCTCTCATGAACTTCATGAGGATTTGAAGTCAATTTGTTTAGTGGATATTGACTAAATAGTAAGCAAAATGTGTTAGAAAACCTTTATTCAAGGCCATCTTGTTATTACCTGAGCCACAATATTGGTCAAACATTTTTAATTTCACCCCTAGGCAAAGGATAAAACAGAAAACAATATAATACAAGAAAATATTTGAAATCCAGAGACAAGGTGAATACATCTCTGTTCTGAATGGGATGCCTTAGCATTGCCCACTAAATTGTAGATATTCTACCAAATTCCCTCACTTTAGAGAACTGTTTGAACTACTTATAGACTATGTCACAACTATTTGCTTCCTAAATTTGTTTACTCAAACTTCTGCACATTGAATCAAATCAGTAACATATGAAAGAATAAAATAAATATGAAATTGAACAAAGCCCAATAGAACACAGATTGTCGGTATATATTTGCATATACTAAGCAAGGCTTTGTGTGTTTAGGTAGGGGTGGGGATGGTCACTCATCAAAGAAAACTATTTACAAGTTTTCTATTATATAAAGTGAAATCAGCAAAATAATAATAATAATAATAATAATAATCTGACCTATATAAAATAGCAGAATTAGATCTATTTTTATGAAAGTTGAAAGTAGCATTAAACTCTTCTCTATATGTGACTTAGTTTCTGTTGCAGTCCCTTTTTCTGTCATAGAGTTACAGATGGTATGGAGTTTACAGTGAAGATTCCAGGCCATAGAACTAACAAACACCAGTTTGAAGCTGTAGTTACAATCCTAAGCAAAGAACTTTACTCCTTGCTCAGAGTTTATCTTCTTCATAAGGAAAATAACAGCAACCACCTCTTGTGTCTTTTATGGAAAATAAATAAATTCTGTATGTCTAGGCAATGGATTAAAAAACTATTCTCTGTGGATAGGTTTCTTTATGAATACTAAGAATTAATTGCCTACCTGCAATGACTTGAAACCTGAGAAATATTGCTAGACAACATTGTTTATGAAACAAATCCATAAATGTCTTCCAGCTGGGAAGATTAAAAAGAAAAAGAAAAGAAAAATCCAGCTACTCTTCTCACTTTTTCTATCATTTTCACTGGAGTCTGGAAGCTCCGAAAACACATGGATCAGTTCCTTAGCAATGTTGGCTGTTATGTAGTTGAGGGTCTCAAGTTAAAGTGGACACAACACTCCTTCTTTGTACAGATCTTGTATTATCATAGCTAAGATTTTTCGTAGCAGTCTTGCCTGCTGATTGCTTTCATTCTCTTTCAATGTAAGACAATCTCCTACTACTAGGTGTTGAGTAGTTTGGCTTACTATCCTATATGTTTTTCCAAGTTCCCTTGATGCCAAGCACAGGATTGTGTGTGTGTATTGGACTATGCTGCAGATACTAAGAAGATCTGGACTATAACAGAGTTGACAGCAAACACTCACTAATAAAGGATAATTATTACCACCATTTTATCATTATTAATACCAACCTATGCTTTCTAACATATAGTCCTGTCTTGTTAACTGTGTACTTGTACTAAACTCATCCAAGTATTAAGAAATTGGGTTTCTTTAAGAAATTTGTGCAAAGAAAAGATCCAGGGATCCTTGTAATTATTTGTAAAGGTAACAAGATGATTAGAAAGTTTAGCATTTCCAATTATAGAAAATGAAATTGTATCAAGATGTCATTGGAGTGAGTAAATGAGGTTTTTCTTCATTATTTTTTTCTGTTATTGAAAACAGATTTTGTTTTACCCCACATATCTTGTTACCGTCTCCCCTAGCTCTACTCCTCTCAGTTCCTCCCCACCTCCTCTCCCATCTGGATCCACTCCCTTTTTGTCTTTCATTAGGGAATAAAGAGGCATCTAAGGGATAATAATTAATAAGATAAAACAAAAACATACCAGAATAGGACAAAACAAACAGATAATAGAAAACAGTACATCCGGCTACATTAAAAAAATACAGCTTAGTGTCAATGATAGACATCACCTCTGGATGAAAGGATGGCAAAATATATTCCAAGCAAATTGGCCTAAGAATAAAACAATTTTAATATCTGACAAAATAGACTTCAAACCCAAACTAATCAGAAGGGACAGGGAAGGACACTACATTGTCATCAAAGGAAAGTCCACCAAGAGGACATTGCAATTCTTAGCATTTATGCCCAAATACAAAGGCACCGAAGGCCACAAAAGAAGTTTGTCTTCTTAAAAAGGATAAAGATATAACATGAGTCTTTGTTAGACTAGCAAACACAAAACATTATTTTTCCCTTGGCCATTTTACCTCAGTTTCCATTCTTGATATTGATATATATTTGCTTTCATTATACAGATAATGTCTGTATAATTTTTATACTGATATAAAAATTGCTTTTCTCATGTGATATTCATCCCCATTACCTGATGAGAATATTCTTACTGTTTTGCTGGGTCTTGAGGTAGATTGATTCCCATTTTTCTGAAAAACCACCATATTGATTTCCAAAGTGATTGAACCATTTTACAATCCCAGCAGCAGTGGAGGAGTGTTCCCCCTACTCCACATCCTCTCCAACATAAATTGTCATAAGTATTTTTTATCTTAGACATCCTGACTGGTTTAAGATTATTAGTCCAAGGGTTTGTTTAACTGATTTTAGGAGGTTTAGTTGTTCCATCTTCCACCACAATTTTTAAACTAAATATTCAGAAGCTTATTTAAGGATCAAGGTGCTTCAGGCTGTACATTAGTTTAAATGAAGGCTACAAAGGTAAAAACACCTTGATGGAGAAGCCTGTTAATAAAAATTGCCCAGTCAGAAAAGTATTTCTACTGTTCCATTTCAGTATTTGAGAAATTCCAGAGTTGCCCAGAACTCTCATGGTCAAATGTTAAGTATATTGATGTTGGCATGTGGAAGAATGCAAATAGAGCCCTGTCTTTCATCCTGCACAAAACTTAAGTTGAAGTAGATCAAAGATCTCAACATAAATTCAGATACACTGAACCTGATAGAAGAGAAAGTGGGGAATAGCATTGAGTGGAGAATAGCATTGACACTGGCACAGGGGACAACTTCCTGAACAGGACACCAATAGCACAGACACTAAGATCAATACTTAATAAATGGGACCTCATGAAACTGAAGTTTCTATAAGTCAAAAGACACCTTCAATAGGAAAAATGTCAATGCACAGAATGGGAGATCTTCACCAACTATATCTTCATCTTATATCCAAGAGACAGCTGATTTCCAAAATGTATTAAGAACTCAAGAAACTATACATCAACAAACCAAATAATTCAATTTAAAAAATGGGGTACAGTCTGAACAGAGAAGTCTCAACAGAAGAATCTCAAATGGTCAAGAAACACTTAAGGAGATACTCAACATCCTCAGTCATCAATGAAATGCAAATCAAAACAACTCTGAGAGTCTGTCTTACACCTGTTAGAATGGCCAAAATCAGAAACACAAGTGACAGCTCATGCTGGGGAGAATATAGAGCAAAGGGAACACTTTTCCATTGCTGGTAAGAGTGCCATTTTGGAATTCATTGTGGTTTCTCAGAAAACTGGGAATCGACCTGACACAAAACCCAACTATACCACCCTTGGACACATATCCAAAGAATGCTCAATCATATCAACAAGGACACTTGTTCAACTGTGTTCATATCAGCTTTATTTGTAATAGCCAGAATCTAGAAATAACTTAGATATCTCTCAACCAAAGAATTGATAAGGAAAGTGTTATGTATTTACACAATAGAGTATTACTCAGTTGCTAAAAATAGTGACGTCAGGAAATCTGAAGGCAAATGGATGGAACTAAAAAAAAATTCCTGAGTGAGGTAACCCAGACCAAGAAAGACAAACATGGTGTGTACTCACTTATACATGGCTATTAACTCTAAGTAAAGGATAACTATGCTACAATCCACAGACCCAGAGAGACTGGGTAACAAGGAGGGCTCAAAGGGGGGCAGTGCCCAAATCTTCCTAGGATGGGCAAATAGAAGGGATTTTGTGAGTGGACTGAGATCAGGTGGGGATGGAAACATTGGTGATCAGGTTGTGGGGGAGAAGAGAGGCAGAGTACTTAAAGAGACTATCGGAAAAGTATGGGTATTTCATTGTCAGGTAAACATCTGGCACAATCTCCCAAGAATCTATAAGGATGATCCCAGCTAAGACTCCTAGCAATACCAGATACATAGCCTGAACTGAAAATCTCCTATGAC